GCACAGCACCCATAGTGCTATAAATGGAGTGGAATGAAGTACATTTGAACACATATATATTATGTCATAGTTGGAGCTACCAGAGGAGCGGGTTTAGGAAAAGCAGCAAAGCTGATGTCTCTGGTTACTGGATGGAATGCGGCATTCTTCTCGAGGTGCTCCCATATAAGCCTTCTCCGCTCCTCAGTTGCGGCTTGCTTCTCTTCCTCCTCTTGGAAATTTTTCTGACAAGCCAACAGCAGCTTCTGATCCATGTCAAAGAACATTTTCCTGACATTCATTGTAACATTCAGAACCGATTGGTTCCAATGCAAACGAGCATTCCTTTCGAGAGCTGGATATATGATTGGCAAGATAACTTGGTGGTTTTGAGAGATCAAACCGAACAAGTGCTCATTGTTCCACAGGAATAAGGCTCTTTCAGCAACCTGTAAGCAGGAATAATATTCTTAGTTTCTAGGCTAGGAGTGTATAAATTGTAGAATAAATTATGTCACAAACAAAAACAACAGGTTTCTCCATCCATCAGCGCATGGCGCATAGAAGTGTTCCACATCTGTAAAGCTTTATATAGGTATACAAAGAAACAAAATCTCCAACAAACAACATAAGGAAAAAGGAAAGAATGTATTTTGCATTGGTGTGATTACTCAGCATTAGCCCTTGTGGCCAATTAAATAGCAGCTAAATCCAAATGTGAAGAATCTCTGAAGGGAATTCTTTGAGCAAAATATAATTTGAAAATGAATATAACAGAACATATCTTGGCGGTAAATGTGATGCTAGTTTGAAATACAAATACCACCCACAAGAATCAATTGAAATGACTCCCTTAACTAAATGAGTGTTCTGAGAACCAACTATATGCGCTATAAGCTAGTAAAGAAATTTAATCAAACAACAAACACTGGCAATAGGATATTGCAGATTGATATCCTAGGACAAAATTTCACCTGAAAATGAGAGCTATTCAAGCAGTGTGCAACCCTCCGAAACAATGGGACCATGCACTTCTGGAATTCAGGCATTTCTGTCAATTCCAGCACCTCCTCCAACTCCCCCAAGAACATCATCTCCTTCTGACTGTTCGTCACTGGCCAGTACTTCAACAGGCCTCTGATCACAGTCCCTGAGAGCTTTGGTTCCTTGTCAATAAACTGTGTAATGCAGTATGTCAACTGCGGCAGATACATGCCCACTGTCTTCGGTTTATGAAGAGGAATCAATGCCTTCCACAGAAATAACTTATGCTCCTCCTTCAGTGGTTTCGCAAACCCACTAATCACACTCCCAAACACCTCCAAGAGTTCGGCAATCCCATTGTGACGATCAGCGTCGGATACAAACCTATAGAAGATATTACTCACAGCCTTGCGGATGAAGGGCCGATTACCCATGAATTTTCCATATATCCTATGCAATACTGTCTTCAGGCAATCCCTTTCTCTAGGATCATCAGAATCTAACAAATCAAGCAGCCTGGAGATGAAGGAATTGTCCATGTACTTGCGAGCCACCTTCACATCAACGACAGGAGAGGTGACGAACCGGAGGAGCAGCTCGTATACGACCTGTAAGTGGTACCATGAGGGGTCAAAGAACGGATCGTCCTCGTCAGCCTCGGCAGCTGCCCCGGTGCCTGGCCGGACCTTGGGCGGGAAGACCCTGAACAGGTTGATGGCAAACATACGCACACAGGCCGAGACCATCGCCTCCGTGAGGGGCTCCTCCGCCGTGCCAAGGCAGTCGACGAGAGACATGAGCACCTGCCGCTTTCTCTCCCTCTCCGGAGAGTCCCGGCCCCGGTCGTTGGAGAAGTCGAACAACACGCAGCAGACGTTCAGCTTCCGGAGGAACACGTCCTCCCTTGTCTCCCCCTCCGCTCCGGCGATAGCCGCGAGCGGAGGAGACGCCCGCATCGAGTCCCACTGCCTCCCATTCACGTCATACGACATTGGGGACTTGGGCGGCGGAGATCCCCAGCCCCCGCCTCCGCCGGATTTCGGCGACTTCCCCGAGAGCTTACCAAGGAACTGCTTCCACATGGCGGCAGCAGGCAGTCCGTAGCGCCGACCCACCTCGAGTCAGACACCCATTTCAAGGAACCATGGACGAACCCACTACGCGCCACCCACCCAGGACACGCAGCGGCAAAGCAAATCTTGCAAGGCAACGAACCGGGTCGGCTGCCGCGACCCGTGCAGCTGTCGGAGCGCCGGTCACAGACCCCGCAATGGCTGTGTGGGGGTTTTAGATCCGGAGGCGGGACGCCGAGGCCGCCGCCATGGATGGGATCTCCGAGGAGGAGGGGGGCAGAAAGTGCAGAGCCTTTGGCGTTTTGGGCGGAATCGCAGTGGGAGCCGAGCGGGGAGAGGAGCTGGAGTTTACAGCTGTTTGCGGGGAACGATGGCCACCGGAAGAAGGAAGGGGTGGCAGGATGCATCTCGGCCGTCCGTTTGGGATTGGATTCCCATCTATCGCACGATGGAAGGTTTTGAGGTTTCGTGTGGTCTGAAAAGAAAATGCCAATCCTTCTTTCGAATTCACAAGTCTGCAAAATCACAGAAATAGAAAACAGAAATGTAGTGCACGAACCTTGGAACAAAGTTGGTTGCCATGTCACATAAAAAATCATTCGCAAGGAAGTGATCTACGCACGAACAATGAGATATAATTATTTTTTTCGAATGTTAGTAGGGGAGTTACCAAATTCATTGATCAGAAAGAGGCATTACAAGAACACCTCCGAAGAGCTAGTGCAAAAGGAAAAGAAAAAAAAAGACTAGTCGGCACCCCCGCAATCCGAAGCTCCGCCAACAACCGTGAACAGCATCGGAATCCATCATCGGGTCTACAAGGTGACGCCTCCAAGTAGGTACTAGTGTCGAGGACACCACCGTCACCCGATCTGGCACGGCCTGATTTTGGGTTTTCATCCGGAGACCTCAAGCCATGGGGTAAGAAGAGCAGCGAGCTCCACGACGGTACCTCCAAGGAGGAAGACGACATCCGTAGACACCATTACCGTCGGCACCGACAAGATCGATACAAGATTTTCATCGGGAGCCGAGTCTTCCACCAACCATCCCAGGATCTAAGGCTTCCCAGTGCCATCAGGCCGAACAAGCCCAAGCCCACACTACCAGAACACAAAATGGTCACCGTCGCACGCAGGAACTCAACGAGCACACGCCAACCTGACCGGTCTGCACCGCCGCATGCAGGCCCTGGGCGAGCCAAACTAGATCTGACCATCCTCTGCCTCCGTGCGCAAAACTGGGAGAGGGTCCGCACCGCAGCGCACCAGAAAAGTCGAGGTAGAATCGGAACTGGTCAGTCTGCACCACCGCGCGCTGGAACTAGGTGAAAACCAAGCGAAAACTAACCGTCATGCACCACCGCGCGCCAAGACTGGATTATCCGTACTCAATCTGGTCTGTCTAAGCCTCCTCTAGCACCAGGCGCACACTAGACGACGCCACTGCTCATAGGAGCTAGACGTGGACACGCTTGAAGGAGGAAACCACCAGCATCCGTCGACACCACTATGCTACTACCTCCACCAGCCCGACCCGGCGGTATGATCTGGCCACAGGATCACCAGAGCCCAGATCAGGTTTGGACACTACGAGCCCCACACCGCCCCTAAAAGAGCATGGTGCCCCCATGTTTGGTTTTGGTAATTCTAATGGTCGCCTTGGGATATACTTGAAGGGTTTATCCACAGACTTTGCTTGAAGACCATTTGTTGGTTTCAAGGTTATAAGGAGAAGATAAGACACAAGGTTGATCAAGATTAAGTCAAACAGTGAATCAAGTTGATCAACACACAAAGCGTCGAAGATGTACCGAGAGGGCTCAAGTGATCACATGGTATGGTAAGCATTATCCATTACGCTTTGGTGTACTAACACGTGGTCTACGTGAGAGTTCTTTGTGGGGTTAGGTATGTTTCCATGGGCGTGCATCAAAAGAAACATATCACATAACCCATGAAGGATGACATCAAGTGATGGTCGTCATCAAGGTTGTGATGTGCAAGTTCAAGTGGAGTATCACAAAGAGATCATGCTTGAAGCTTGCCATCCATTGTGGTGACAATGGACTTGTGAACATATACTGAAGAGTGGCTCACCCATAGTGGGGTATGGGGGAGAAATCTACTAGTCTTCATTGAGCCAACGCAATCAAGAAAGGTGGTCCAACTTGAGGAGGTCAAGATCGTCATCATCTAGCTCAAGTGGATTATGTGTAAGGCAAAGGTTTGTCCTTGGTAGGTTTTCTATCTTACTTGTCTCATGGTGTTAGTTGGTAGACCAGGTTATAAGATCAGTAGTCATACTATCAAGGGGCTCTCTCGAGTGAGTAGCTTGATGGTATCGTTCATAGAGAGCTTAAACCTCTGCATCCTTGGCATCATCTTTCTTGGTTCTTGTTTGGTTTTTCTCTTTGTGAGTTTTGGAGCTTGTAGTATTCTTCTCGACAAGCTCAAGTTCATCGAGAACGGTTTTCGTTTGCTTCATCTAGTATTTTTTTATGTTGGAGTTTATGTCAGTTCTTCACCGATGGAGGTTTCACACCTCTATAAGTCTATATCATAGGCATATTTCTCTTGCCGATTCTGAAGATATGCATTTGTGATTTGACAACTCTTGTCGTTAGCTTTCCATCAAGCTTGAGTTCATCGCAATTAGAGTTCATTTGCAGAAGTTATGGTAGCTTTGGTCTTACCTGGTTCTTCTGTTTTGCTTGGGCTATTTTGCAGCACCCAAGCGGTAGTACTGCTCGGTACCATGGTAGTACCGCTTCATGCGGTACTTCCATTGTGGTCTACCGCAACTACTTCTACTTGGGAAAATGCTTCTGGAATGTATCACGAATTTCATGGTAGTAGAGAGTGGTAGTAGAGCGGTAGTACTACTCTAAGCGGTAGTACCGCTCCCCAAGCGGTAGCACTGCTCTGGCAGAACCACCGCTCTTGTATTTCTGCCTCGTTGGGTTGCGATGGTCATGCTAAGTGGTAGTACCGCTTGTGCAGGACCAGTGGGCATAACGGTTGGATTCGAGGGGGGGTATTTAAGTGGGTCTTCTTCCCCAATGGTTCTTATATTTTGAGCTCATGTTTGCTCTCCATTGGTGACCTTCTTTGAGCTTGCTATCTCTCAGTCCCTCCAATGATCCTTGCTAATTCTTGAGGGAAAAGAGGGAGGAGGTCTAGATCTACATTTTCACAAATCACTTTCTCCTCTATGTGAGGGGAACCCCTTGGATCCATATCTTGGAGTTCTTTGTGTTCTCTTCTTCGTTCTTCCTCTCATTTTCCACCATAGCATTACTTGTTGTGGTGGGATTTGGGAGAGAACGACTTGGGCACTCCATGTGCCCTTGCCATTGCATTTGGTGCATAGGTTTGAGTTCTCCACGGTGATACGTGGAAGTGAAGTTTGAGTAGCTTATTACTCTTGGGTGCTTGGTACCCTAGAGCTTGTTTCTCATGGGTGCTTGGGCACCCTAGAGGGTTGGTGGTGTCTTGGAGCTCAATCATCGTGATGTAAAGCTCTGGACAAGCGTCGGGATATCCAATTAAGTTGTGGAAATTGCCCCAAGCAATTTGTACGGGTTCCAATGATCGTCCCTAAGGGTTGCCATTTTGTACGAGTTCAGCGACCGCCCTCAAGGGTCCCTTAGTGGAATAACGACATCTTACATTGTGTGAGGGCGTGAGGAGATTACAGTGGCCCTAGTGGCATTTTGGGAAGCATTGTACCTCCACACCACTCCAAACGGAGATTAGCATCTGCAAGGGTGTGTACTTCGGAATGCACCATCGTCTCTGCGTGCCTCGGTTATCTCTTACTAAGCCCTTTACTTGTGAACTTTACTTTGTGATAGCCATGGTGTTTCATGATATATATTTTGCTATCATTTAGTTGTCTATCTTGTTTAGCATAAGTTGTTGTTGCACATAGGTGAACCTAGTTGATTTAGGTTTTGTGCTTGACAAATTAAACACTAGTTTTATTCTGCATTTTTTCAAGCCTAAACCATAATTATTTTAAAGTACCTATTCACCCCCCCCCCCTCTAGGCGACATCCATGATCTTTTATTGGTATCAGAGCCTTGTTTCTCATTATTAGGCTTCACCGCCTAGAGATTAAAGATGTCGACTAGGGTATTAGGATTCTTTGACACTCTTAGTTTCAGTGGCATGAATTTTTTATGTTTCTGCAATTCACATGCTTAATCTCTCTAGGGTCATGGACCCAAATTTAGAGCGAATTGTAGATATGTGGTTTTCTCCTCCAAAGGATCCTCAAAGGTTATCTTTAGAGGATGAGAAAAACTCTTATCTCAATGCTCAATCTCCTAATGTGCTTTTCAATGCTTTGAGAAATGTAGTTATATTTCAACTCATGGCGTTTCGGGATGCTCATGAGTTGTGCACAAAGCTTCAAGATAAATATGTGTGTCCAAGATTTACGAGGATGATTGTTCTTCCTCCATCTCCGGGCGTGTAGTGTTCTCAACTTCTTCTACTTCTCCAACATGTGGTTTGCCACATGGTAATGAAATGGTGAGTAGTGTTAGTCATTGCAATGGTGATAGTGAGCTTATTACTGTTGATCCTTCATCGCTATCTTATTGCAATGTTTCATCTTTGGATTCACACTTCGAGCACCCTACATGTTTCACATGCTTGTGTTGATAATTGATACGTCTCCAACGTATCTATTATTTTTTATTATTCCATGCTATTATTGTATCAATCTTGCATGTTTTATATGCAATTATATATATATATATATCATTTTTTAGGACTAACCTATTAACCTAGTGCCAAGTGCAATTCCTGTTTTTTTGCGTGTTATTGCTTTTCCAGGAAATTAGTAGCATACGAAGTCCAAATGCTACGAAACTTTTTTGATGATTTTTTTCTGGACAAGAGAGACCCTAGAAGCTTCGGGAGGAGACCAGAAGGCAACAGGGCGCGCCTTGATGCCTTGTGGGCCTCTTGTGTCTCCGTCTGACCTAATTCCACCTCTA